ACCCGGAGTTCTGTCTCCACTCACAGGTTGGCCAGGGCAGGCCCAGTGTTTTAGATAAGGCTATTAATGAAACAATGGTCAGATTCACAGATGACATGAATACAACTGACAGCAGACTGAAGATCCCAGAAGATCTCAACAGACCGTAATGGTGGACTGAGTTGAAAAGAGAGGCCCAGCTGCACAATTAAGAACAGGATCTGGGAAATGGCATTTGACAGCAAGAAGTGTGGAAAAAAAAGACTTTGGGCTCAATCTGTTAACTGCGTTGTGCTGTGGGGCTGCCAAGAAAATGAACATCAGCTTCAACTCCAAGTGTCTCACTTGAAAGGGAACATTGACAACCCCCGGGGGGCCCTCAGAAGACCCAAACCAAAATGCAAAAAAAGATGCCAAAAGATGGGAAGCGGGGCTGTGGTGCTTGCAGGAAGGGGTAGCCATGGAAATGTAGCAACTTCTTCCAAGTGGTCGGAGGACCTATCCTGGTGGAGAGCTCCCTCCCAGAGGCCCCAGAGGTTGGGATCCAGAAGCTGAGCGGAAGTCCCAGAAGGGCAGGTTTTGGCAAAATGTGGGAACAGTTTCCTGTGGTTAGTCCAGTAAATGAATTTGGGCCGTCTTGGCAGATACTGCAGTTCCTTTGCTGAAGTGAACACTTGTTAGGGGTGGACAAAGGGTATTAAAATGGGTAACTATGCAGAGGTTAGATTAGGTGACTTCAACTTGTTTTCTAAGCCTGGGGTTCTGTGATTTTTATCATCATACAAAGGGGGAGATAAGGAGAATGGAAGTTGGTGTGATTGTCCATGTGTACTTTTTATTTATAATACGCACAAATGGAAGGACACATATCATAGGTGGACACTTCGTGCTCTTTGCAAAAGAGATCCATGTACCACTTGACCACAGGACAGAACGTCCACTCCACTGCTCCCGAGAAGCTCCCTTGGGCCCCTTCCAGGCATTCCCTCCTGCAGAGGTAGTCACTTTCACGGCTTCCATCACATAGGTTCATTTTACCTGTTTTGTTTGGTTGGTTGGTTTTTGAGAGACAGGGTTTCCCTATGTTGCCCAGGATGGCCTCGAATTCCTGGCCTTAAAAGATCCTCCTGCCTCAGCTTCCCAAAGTGCTAGGATTATAGGTGTGAGCCACCATGCCTAGCCCAATTTTGCCTGTTTTTAAACAGATATACAAATGGAACCATGCAGAGCATTCTCCCTTGGGTCTGGCTTCCTTGGCTCAGCACTTGGTTTGTGGGACTCTTGCACATCAATGTGCATAGTTATAGACGGGACCCTCATGTTGCCCTGTGGTGGTCTACTCATCTGGGTCTGTGGCTGGCTATATGCTGCCGTCTCCTCCTGTCCACGCTGTGTGCTCAGATGGATCTGTGGATGTCCAGGCAGTCTGCTGGCCATGGGCTCACAGACCCTCAGGAGGGACACACCAGCTTCTAAGCCCAGAGCCTGGTTCTTCGCACCGGGGCATTAGACAAGTGAGTGTGCAATGGAAGAGTCTGGGGAAGGAGTGCGAAGCAGGTGGCTGACAGGTGGCCTGATGGATGAGAGGCCTGGGGTGCATGCCAGGCAGACACCCTGAGGCAGCGTGTCAGGCAGCATTGCCATGGTGGGACAGGCCACTGCTGTTGCTTCCTGAGCTGCCGTGGAGACTGGAAAAGGCAATTCATGCCTTTGGCCAGGTGCCTGACAGCCTTTTTAGGGCAGTTCAGTCTTGGCAGGGCCCAGTTCTCCTCCCAGGGAGTGAAGACAAGGGGCTCCAGAGGGGCTGTGCTGGCCTCTGTCACCACCCAACATCCCAGCGGGCCCACGTGGTCAGTGCCTTTGCCTTCCTGGCTGCCCCTTGTGGAAGCTGGGAAGCAGAGCACCAGCATTCCACTTCCGACTCTGCTGTGGATTTGGAAAAGTCATTTCTGAATGTCTCAGTGCCTTTGGCTCCTCTGAGTGCTAATTCAGTGTCCTGGTCTTGTGGAGGCCCGTGGTGGATGGAGGGGGACAGGGTGGAGGCAGAGGCTGGTCTGGCCTGGCTGGTGCACGCTGGGGCTAGAGCCTGTTGCCTTATATGATGGTGGCTGGGATGGCTCCCATGGCTTCTGCAGCCTCCTCTGAACCTGGTTGTAGTTCCTGGGAGGGCTTGCCAGGTGGGATCAGGCCCCTTCCGTGGGTGGGAGAGCCCACAGCCAGGCTTGGCCAGCCCCTCTGTTTGTCCCCCTGCACAGTTTGGGTGGTGTTGGGTGAGGTTTTTCTTTTTTTCCTCCATGGAATAAGTTCTCAGGTCTGTAAAATTAAAAAGTGGTCTCATCCCTCCTTGCTGTGTCCCAGTGGGAACTGAGAATGCAGGATTGGGTTTAAAAGGCGGGGTGGGGGGGCCGTTGGGATGAAAGGCAGCAGGCAGGTGGGGACAGCAAGGGGGGCTTGCCACTCAGATGTGGTTTCTTTTCATTCGTTCACCCTCTCGGTGATTTTTCTGGTGCTTCGTTTCTGGATGACAGCCTCATCCTGACCCACCCAGGCCCGCCTCTTCCCTTCTGGAACCACCCCTAGCACTGCTTTGCCAGCCTGCCTGCTCCCCTCACCCCCAGGCCTGTCCTCCCCGCCCTCTGCAAGTAAACGAGCTCCCTCGCAGGCCTCGGGTTTTGGATTAATGAAGCCCAGATGCAGGACTTCTGACTCGCTGCAAGTTCACTGTTGAGCAGCTCAGAGGGGCCATTGACCTCCCACTGTGTTCCTGGCCCAGCTGCTGCTGGGGCTCCTGTAACAGCTGGAAAGCTGGCCCTGTCTGACAGGCAAAGGCCTGTTGGGGTCGGGGGAGAAAATGAAGCTTGGGGCTCTGGGTGTGGGGCCACGCGGTAGCGTGCACCCATGGGGGTCTGTTGCAGGGGCAGTAGAGCACAGATGAGGGGCTTCTGTTTGCCATCCTCCTCTAGCTCACTCTGGGTGGGGGCTGCCTTTTCTCAGTGCTCTAGCTGGGGTGGGGTGGGTCAGTAGAAAAGGTTGAGTGAGTCCTCAGTGGCGCTGTGCAGAAAGGGGTTGAGACTAAAGGGAGCCAGGGTCAGGGCAGTCCACGATGGTTCACATCAGGTCTCACCAGCCAGGTATGGAGGGAAATGGTTGATCCCTCCCAGAGTTGCCAGGTATAATGCACATATCACATGGGACAAACGTATGCTAGAAAAATTTTCAGCCAGGTGGGGTGGTATGTGCCTGTGATACCAGCTATTTGGGAGGCTGAGGCAAGAGAATTGCTTGAACCCAGGAGGCAGAGGTTGCAGTGAGTCAAGATCGCACCACTGGGTAACAGAGTGAGACTCCTTCTCAAATAAAAAAAAATTATTTTCACTTATCTGAAATTCACATTTAACTGTTTTGTTTTTTGTTTGTTTGTTTGTTTGTTTTTGAGACAGAGTTTCGCTCTTGTTATCCAAGCTGGAGTGCAATGGCGCGATCTCGGCTCACCGCAACCTCCGCCTCCTGGGTTCAGGCAATTCTCCTGCCTCAGCCTCCTGAGTAGCTGGGATTACAGGCATGCACCACCATGCCCAGCTAATTTTTTGTATTTTTAGTAGAAACGGGGTTTCACCGTGTTGACCAGGATGGTTTCGATCTCTTGACCTCATGATCCACCCGCCTCGGCCTCCCAAAGTGCTGGGATTACAGGCTTGAGCCACCGCACCCGGCTTAACTGGGTATTTTATATTTTAATTTGCTGTATCTAGCAATTTATCTCCCAGGCTGATTTTTTTTTTTTTTTTTTTTTGAGGGAGTCTCACTCTGTCACCCAGGCTGAAGTGCAGTGCCTCGATCTCAGCTCACTGCAGCCTCTGCCTCCCAGGTCCAAGCGATTCTCCTGCCTCCACTTCCCAAGTAGCTGGGATTCAGGTGCATACCACCACACCCAGCTTGTTTTTGTATTTTAGTAGAGACCAGGTTTCACCGTGTTGGCCAAGCTAGTCTCAAACTCCTGACCTCAAATGATCCACCTGCCTCAGCCTCCCAAAGTGCTGGTATTACAGGCTGTGAGCCATCGAGCCTGGCCTGAATTTTTTTTCTTAATTATTTTATTGAACTACAGTATACAAACAGACCAAAGACAGTTAAGTGTATGGCTCAGTACATTTTCACAAGTCCAGTGCACGTGAAGCCAGCAACCAGGTCAAGTAATGAAACATCAGAATCTGCCCTCCACACCTACCCCAGCGTCACCAGTATCCTGACTTCCAGCAGCTGAAGTTTGGCATTTGTATTTTTTTTAAGAGTTGGAGTCACCATAATCCCAGCACTTTGGGAGAGCTCGAGATGGCTGGATCATGAAGTCATGAGTTCAAGACCACCCTGGCCAAGATGGTGAACCCCTGTCTCTACTAATATTATAAAATTAGGTCAGGCATGGTGGCTCATGCCTGTAATCCCAGCATTTTCGGAGGCTGATGCGGGCGGATCACCTGAGTTCAGGAATTTGTGACCAACCTAATATGGTCAAACCCTGTCTATACTAAATTTAAAAAAAAAAAATTAGCTGGGTATGGTGGTGCCTGCCTGTAATCCGAGCTACTTGGGAGGCTGACAGGAGAATCGCCAGTATCTGGGAGGCAGAGGTTGTAGTGAGTCGAGATCGCACCACTGCACTTCAGTCCGGGCAACAAGAGTGAAACTCTGTCACAAAAAAATAAAAAAAGAAACGCAGTTCAGCACTCCTGCCTTTGTGGATCCATGGATATCTATTGGCAGAGGGAACAAAAAACTAAGAAAAGCCCTGCTCTGTGGGCCTCTGAAATTACCAGGGACTTTAGTTTTTGTGTGGACTTACTTTTTAATTTTCTGATCATGTTTCATTCCTCCTAGAATACATATAATGCTATAAACCAATGGAGAAAGCCACCAATGGAGGGTGGCTTCCCTAAATTCTCTCTTCAGGGGTGTTTACCCCCTCTGGCTCCCTGACTTCCAGCACTCCCCCTCTCAGGCTGTCACTCCTTCTCCCCCAGGCAGCTTCGAAGCCAACTCAGCCTTGTCATCATTGCTCGAATGCTGGGCCAGCAGGAGACGCTCCCTCTCTGGCAAGAGAGGACCCAGGTGAGTGTTTGCTTCAGGCCTGGGCAGGAAGGCCTCGGCCTATGGGCTCTGGAGGCTTTTCCCAAAGGCTAGGAACTCAAGCCCCAGAGCTAAGCTGGCTTTGAACTCTCTACTCATATTCTTTCATCAAGAATTACCACTTTTATTAGCTGGGCATGGTGGCACGTGGCCTGTAATCCCAGCTACTCAGGAGGCTGAGGCAGGAGAATTGCCTGAACCCAGGAGGCGGAGGTTGCGGTGAGCTGAGATTGCGCCGTTGCACTCCAGCTTGGGTAACAAGAGTGAAACTCCGTCTCAAAAAAAAAAAAAAAAAAAAAAAGAATTACCACTTTTGGGCCGAGTGCGGTGGCTCAAGCCTGTAATCCCAGCACTTTGGGAGGCCGAGGCAGGTGGATCACGAGGTCAAGAGATTGAGACCATCCTGGTCAACAAGGTGAAACCCCGTCTCTACTAAAAATACAAAACATTAGCTGGGCATGGTGGTGCGTGCCTATAATCTATCTCCAGAACTCTTTCGCACCCCTGCACTCCAGCCTTGGTGACAGAGTGAGACTCCCATCTCAAAAAAAAAAAAAAAAAAAAAGATGGCATGGTGGCTCATTCTTATAATCCCAGCACTTTGGGAAGCCAAGGCAGGTGGATCACCTGAGGCCAGAAGTTCAAGACCAGCCTGGCCATGGTGAAATCCTGTCTCTACTAAAAATACGAAAAAAAATTAGGCATGGTGGCACATGCCTATAATCCCAAGTACTTGGGAGGCTGAGGCAGGAAAATCACTTGAACCTGGGAGGTGGAGGTTGCAGTGAGCCGAGATCAAGCCTGCATTCCAGCCTGAGTGACAAGAGCAAAACTCTATCTCAAAAAAAAAAAAAAAAACTAAAATTTTCCCAACATAAAATTCATTTTTTCATAATCTTAAGCATAGTGTTTCAGCCATTTCCAAGTGTACACTTCAGGGGCCTTAAGTGCATTCACACTGTTGTGCAGCTGAAACCACCATCTATCTCCAGAACTCTTATCTTTCCAAATTGAAACCCCACACTCATTAAACACAAACCCCTGCCCCATGCCCCCAGCCTCTGTTTTTTGTTGTTGTTGTTTTGTTCTGTTTCGTTTTTTTTGAGACAGTCTTGCACTGCCACTAGGCGCCAGGCTAGAGTGCAGTGGCATGATCTCGGCTCACTGCAACCTCCGCCGCCTGAGTTCAAGCAGTTCTCCTGCCTCAGCCTCCCCAGTAGCTGGGACTGCAGGCATGCACCACCACGCTGAGCTAATTTTGTATTTTAGTAAAATGGGGTTTCATCATGTTGGCCAGGATGGTCTCAATTTCTTGACCTTGTTATCCACCCGCCTTGGCCTCCCAAAGTGCTGGGATTATAGACGTGAGCCACCGCACCCGGCCTGCTTTATTTTTTATAGTAAAGTGTAAAAACAAATACTATTTTTAAAGATGAAAACAAATACTATTAAATTAAAACTACTCCCTCTGGTGTCCCTTCAGTCCCCAGGGTTAGGTATCGTTGGGGCAGCAAGGACATTAAGAGTTCTGCTTTCCTGTTCCATTCCTCTTTTTTCCAAAAAGCTCTGACTGCAGCCTCTTGGCAGTCAGAGGATATCACTTCAGGGGGTGATGAAGGGGTCACTGGCAGCCCAAGGATGGATGGCAGGGAGGTTGAGCACACCCTCACCTCCCCAGCAATCTTCTTGGAATCCTGGGAGAAGAGCTGTTGGGTACAGCTGACCCTTCTGGCTCAGCAACACTGGGAGTGCTCTGGCTAGAGGCTGTGGATCTGCATCCACTGAGGCAGCATAACCTCTTGCCCAGAGGGCTGAGAGAATGTTCCAGCATATCCCTGTTTGAGGCGGACCATATGGCTGAGTCCCAGATGCTGTGACTGCAAGGAGGGAGCTCAGAGAGGTGGGGTTGAGCAGCTTCATCCTGACTTTTGCCCCGGATGCCCACTTTGCCTTGAATGCTTCCTCCAGGCCTTAGTAGGGCTAGAATTTCTTATCATTTCCACTCCTGCAGAAATGTCACCTCTGCAAGGGGGCCTTCCTAACCACCTGATCCAGAGTGCCCCAGCACTGGCTATCATCCTGTCCTAAAGTTGCTCCTGGTCGCCACCCCCTGATCTTTTCCTATTTGTTTCCTCAGCATCTATGTTTTCCAACCCCTACTCCCAAGCAGAACATAAGCCCCTGAAGAACAGGGAACACATGGTGTCTGCCCCTTGGCACCTGGCAGTGCCTGGCACATGCTGGGAAGGCAGTGCATGTTTGTGGAAGGGACAGGCACCCAGGTGGGTCATTGGGCTGTGTGGGAAGAAAGTGCCACAGGCTGAGACCTTGGGAGGGGTAGCGAGGAGGTGACTGGTACTAAGGTCACTTCACAGATGGTCTCTGAGGAAGGAAGAACAGAGGGACCCAGCGGCGTTGCTGGGAACAGCCAGCAGTTAGAGGCAGGGGGAGCACAAGATGGGGCGCTTGGGAGGGCTCTGGGACGCAGGCTGACGGACAGGCCCAGTGCAGAGTGGAGGCCAGAGGGGGAGCGACACAGGTGGCCAGAGAGTGTCAGGGCTAGTTCAAGGCTTGGCGTTTTGCTTCATTTTGTTTTTCTTGGCCAGCATCTGTGCAGAGAGTGAGGAGAGGTTGGTGGGGCTGCACTTCTGGTGGAGGTCAGAGTGGCAGAAGGGAAGTGTCATGGCAAAAGGGCTGGGTTGTTGGGCCTGAGAGTTGGAGGCTACAGTGAGCTATCATCACACTACTGCATTGCAGCCTGAGCAACAGAGCAAGACACCTTCTCTTAAAAAGGTGAGGGATGGGGGCACAGGGGCCAGTGGCTCACGCCTATAATTTCAGCACTTTGTGAGGCTGAGGTGGGAAGATCACTTGAGCCCAGGAGTTCTTTACAAAAAGTAAAATAATTAGCTCGACATGGTGGCATGTGCCTCTAGTTCCGGCTACTCAGGGTGAGGATGCTGAAGTGGGAAGATGGCTTGAGCTCTGGAGGTCAAGGCTGCAGTGAGCCATGATGGCTCCACTACACTGCAGCCTGGGTGACAGAGCAAGACCCTGTTTTTGTTTTTGTTTTAAAGTACACGGGGTGGCCACTGCCTCCCCTTGGGTGATTCTGGCCTGGCAGGTCTCCCAGGCTCCCCAGGGACCAGGGTCTTGCAGTCTGTCAGGGCCAAGCCAGGTCCAGCCCACCTGCCCACCTGCCATGTGCCCACCATATGCCTGTGTGTTTGTTAGACACTAGCTGAGCAGCCCGAGTGATCTCCTGTGTCAGGCACTTGCACTGGGGAGACAGCACCAGATGACCTCAGAAGAGAAGGGAGAGCAAGTCAGCCACGGCCACAGTGACTAACTCTGCCCAAGCACAGTGCGGCGGCTGCTAGAGAAGATGCCCTGAGCCAGGTCTTGGAGGCTGAGTCAGTGCTTGTACTGCAAAAAAGAGAAAGGGAGTGAGAGATTGATGGCGACTGGAGGGATAGGAAGGACCTGCAGGGGCTTGCCCATGGCCTTCCTGGAGCTCCTTCCCCGTCTCCACTGCAAGCCCAAGGCTGCTCACAACCTCCTCCCAGGTCCCCAGGCTGCCAGGCACTCCCCTTTCCAGTCTGGCCTGTCAGACCTTCCTGAAACACTCCTTCAAAGGGCCACGTCGTCCCCACAGCCACCCACTCAGCCCACATGCCCCTTTCCCAGTGTTTCCTCCACAGGGCTTGCCCATGCTGCATGTTCTCCTGGGCCCTCCTCGCAGGCGCCACCTGCCCTCTGCACACAGCCCTGGCTGTGTCCGATACTCTTTTTCCTTTCCACCTGTCACCCCCAGCCCGCAATAGTGGCAGCTCTCATGTGCACAGCACAGCTGTGTCCCAGCTGCTGTCCTCAGCGCTCGCCACTCCTAGCAGCCCTAGGTCCTCAGACTTACTGTCATTCGTATTTTACAGATAGGGAAACTTTCCAGGGTCACTCAACAGGGAAGTGATACAGCTGGAATTATTTTATTTTTGAGGCAGGGTCTCACTTTCCCAGGCTGGAGTGCAGTGGTGCAGCCTCAAGCCCCTTGGTTCAGGTGATCCTCCCACCTCAGCCTCCAGAGTAGCTGGGACTATGGGCGTGTACCACCACACCTGGCAAATTTTTGTATTTTTTTGTAGAGTGGGGTTTTGCCACGTTGACCAGGCTGGTCACAAACTCCTGGGCTCCAGTGATCCGCCTCAGTCTCCCAAAGTGCTGAGATTATAGGGATGAGCCACCGTACCTGGCCTAGAGCTAAGATTAAAGTCCTGCCCTTGACCACTGCAGGGCACTGCCATAGCCTGTCCAGCTCTCTCCTCGGCTCTGGACATCCTGGACCACACCTGCCACTTCATGGTGAAGTGCCCTGATTGGCCTTTGAGCTTTAGTCCCAGTTCACACACAGGAGGACAAGAGCCATTCCTCCCTTCCCTCATCAGTGTAGAAGTGCTGGATAAAGCCTGTCAATCAATTAATTGTAAAAGGGGGTGCAGGGGTTGACAATTGACTAGTGTAGGAGCAGAGGACCTGGGGGTGGATCTCAGCAAAGCAATTTGCAGGGCACTGCTGGGCAGGAGTCCCTCATGCCCAGGTGTCTGGGCTCTGTATCTCCCCCAAGCTGTAGCTAAGGGCCCAAGGAACAGGAGCAGAAGCAGATGCTGGAGAACTGAACTTGAAGGACAGAACTTAGAGTGTTGAGGTCACACAGGGAAGTGCAAGTTCAGTTAGCCAGAGCCTCAAGGCCATGGGGAGTGTTTTGACTCCCCCCACCACCCCAGAGTCTCACTCTGTCACCAGGCTGGCGTGCAGTGTTGCAATCTCAACTCACTGCAACTTCCACCTCCCAGGTTCCAGTGATTCTTCTGCCTCAGCCTCCCAAGTAGCTGGGATTACAGGCATATACCACCATGTCTGGCTAATGTTTGTGTTTTTAGTAGAGCTGGGGTTTCACCATGTTGGCCAGGCTGATCTCCAACTCCTAACCTCAGGTGATCCACCCACCCCAGCCTCCCAAAGTGCTGAGATTCCAGGCATGAGCCACCACCCAAGCCTGAGGGTTTTGACTTTTGTGCAGAAGTGGGGAGACCCTGGAAGGTTTTGGGCAGAGAAGAAACAAAATCTGGTTTATAAAACTTTTAAACATTGCTCTGGCTGCTGTGTTGAGAATAGACTATTGGGAACGGAGAGGAAGGAGGTGATTGCAGTAATCCTGGCAAGAGATGGCAGTAGTTTGGCCTGGGGAAATAGCAGTGTGGGCGGTGAGAAGTGGTCGGAGTGTAGGTGCATTTCCCAAATACAGACAGTGGGATGTGCGATGCAAGAGAACAGAGACAAGGACTCCAGGTCTGTGTAGCTGGCAGGATGGAGATGCCCTTTGCCTGCCCTAGGCAAGATGCAGGTGGAGCAGGTTTGGGGAGGAAATCAGGAATTTGTTTCTTTTCCTGGGGCATCTCTTGCAACACAGTAAACCTCTGGTCAAACTATGTCTTCCAGTTTGGAGTTTGGAAAACGTGGGCTTCAAGTGACTTAAGTCATGGGGGATAAAGGTTTACATCTACTCAGAAAACATTAGCTGCAGTCTTGACTATTCATTTATTCATTCAATCATTTATTCATTTGACAAATATTTATTAGATATGTACCATGTGCCAGGCATGGTGCTAGGTTCTGGAGACTTTGCAGTGAAAAAAAAAACTGCCTTCAGAGAGCTTACATTCTAGAAAGGGAGGGGGAATAGTTGATAAATAATAAGCAAGTAAATTGCAAAGAGGCCAGGCGCTGTGGCTCACTCCTGTAATCCCAGTGTTTTGGGAGGCCAGAGTGGGTGGATCACTTGAGGTCAGGAGTTCGAGACCAGCCTGGCCAACATGGTGAAATCCTGCCTCTACTAAAAATACAAAAATTAGCCGGATGTGGTGGTGGGCACCTGTAATCTCAGCTATTCAGGAGGCTGAGGCAGGAGAATTACTTGAGCCAGGGAGGTGGAGGTTGCAGAGGTCCAAGATCGTGCCACTGCATTCCAGCCTGGGTGACAGAGCAAGACTCTGGATAGATAAACAGAGACAGGGTAGGGGGGAGGCAGGCAGATGAGAGCTTGGGCAAGTGGGCCTCACTGAGAAGGTAGGCCTGGAGCAACGGCTGGAAGGAGGAAAAAGGAAGGTGCCATGTCTGGTCAGAAGGCCTGGGCAGGGCACCAGCTCCAGAGAACAGCAGGCAGGTTGGGACCCCTTGAGTCTTTGCAGACACTTAAGATCAGGCATCCCCAAACTTTTTACACAGCGGGCCAGTTCACTGTCCCTCAGACCGTTGGAGGGCCGCCACATACTGTGCTCCTCTCACTGACCACCAATGAAAGAGGTGCCCCTTCCTGAAGTGCGGCGGGGGGCTGGATAAATGGCCTCAGGGGGCCGCATGCGGCCCGAGGGCCGTAGTTTGGGGACGCCTGCTTATTATCTTGGCTTCCTCTCCTAGGTGAGGAGGAAGCCAGGATTTGCACCCAGGAGCAACATACTGTGAGGCCAGTTGCTTCTCTGGAAATCAGCCTTCACCACCTCTTTGCCATCTCTGAGAAGGCTGGTGGAGGCCTATCTTCCTGAAGGATCATTGCTTCTCACCCTAGGTGTCCACCCTAAGAGGCTGAGTGTTTGCAGAGCCAGCTGCCAGCAGTGGAGTGGGGGTAGGGAGGGTTCTGGCCTGGCCCATCCCCAGTGTTTCCCATGAAGCCCAAATAAGCCCTTATACTGGAGAGGGGTTGCGTGTGGGAGAGAGGCTGGCTGGAGCGTCCAGAGATGGAAACAAAAGGGAATAAACAATCGAAAGGCACAACGGCTCAGGCAGATCGCAGGGGCAGCAGCTTGCTGTGCTGAGTACAGTCAAGCTGTTTTCAAGAGTGAGAGGAAAAACACAAGAGCAAGCGCTGAAAGAGTGCTGTCCTGTGTGCCCCTGCCCAGCCCCACCCAGGCCTCCGTAGCAGTGGGGGTCTGGGCCAGGCGAGGCTTGCCCCAGGTCCATGCTGGGGGCGTGGGCTGCAGAGCCTGGCCCGCAGAGCTTGGCCCTGTGCTTGCACAGCTGTGAGCCCTGAGCGAGCAGGGCTGTTTTGGAAACTATCCTGACTTGTGAAGCCTCAGCAAGGCGGCACAGCTATGGTTTGGGAGAAACCCCAGATGGTGCCTCTCTTCGCCCAGAACCTTCCTCTCCCCTCCAAAAGGGTTCAGACACTAGGCTGAGAAGCCCTGGCTGCCACTCATAGCCCCCAGCGCAGCTGCTCTTGTGGGCTGTCATAGACCATAACCAGCTGAGGTGCTGAGCAGGTGTTGGGTGAGTCACCGGAGGAAGCCAGGTGTGCCAGCCAGGCTAGGCTCAAGTGGGTGGCTGGGCTGCGGGGCTCAAGCTCCTAGCCCGTGGCCACCCTGCTCCTGTGCCATCTAAAGAGATGGTGCCTCTGTGAACTACCCTGGCTTTGCTCCTGCTTCCTCCCCCTGCTCCAACGGCTGCTGTGGCCTCACAGAGGCCAAGGGCTGGGAGCCTGCCTGCCTCTGCCCCAGCTAAGAGTCAGCTTCAGGGCAGCTGGGCGGTCCTTGCTGGGGCTGGGCCCAGGCTGCCCAAATTGGGTGCATGGCCTGAGCCAGAAGGAGTGGCTAACTGTAGACACCTGAACTTACACAGGTCACATTCCCTCCAGAGGGGTTCCAGAGCCTATTTGTTCAGAGGGGTTGGGCAGTGTATTCAAAAACTAAATTGGGGGTGGGGCAGCTAATAGATTAGGTGACACAGTCAACCAAATGCACTGTGTAGGCCTCTGGCAAATCTCCATTCAAACAGACCAACTGTTTGAGGACATTTTAGAGACAGAGAAAACTGAACACAGGTGTTGGATGATGATAAGGAGGTCTTGATGATTTTGTTAGGAAATAAATGGTATTATGATTAGATTGGGGGGAATCTTTATCTTTTCTGTAGAAGTTCTTTATGGGTAAAACGATACAATGTTTATATTTGCTTTAAAATTCTCTGGAAGGAGAAGGGCAGGAAGGGGAGTGGAAGACACAGGCTAGGTGGAACGACACAGGCTAGGCTGAAGACACAGGCTAGGTGGAACGAAGATGGTCATGAGCATCGCTCACAGTGAGGGACGGTTAGGGACTTTGTGGTCTCTCTTCTTCATGGTGTTGCAAACCTCCACAGCGAAGGGTTAAACCAAAAGACAGGGATGCGGGGGAGGGTGGGCACACAGATTCGGAGCGGCCCTCAGGGTGGCTGGGAGGGGGTGTGGGTCTATAGGGGGATGAGTGGCTGGGGGTGGGTGGGTGTGGATGTGGGTCTGTGGGTGGGTAGGAGGGCTGTTTATGTTTGGGTGTGGGGAGGATGAGTGGGTATGTGAGTGGGTGGGTGTGGGGTCTGTGTGGGGGATGAATGGGTATGTGGGTCTCTGTATGTGGGTGAGTGGGTGTGTGTGTGGGTGGTGGGTGGGGGGCTGGGTATACATGGATGTCTCTCCTCTCCTGGGAAATATGTGGGGACCGTTTTACAGATGAGAAGACTCAGGATCTGAGAGGTCACAGTTTGTAAGGGAGAGGGGGGTCCAGGTCTCAGAACCCAGTGCTCTGACCCACTGCCACAGCTGAGGTGTCCAGGCCAAGTCCTGGGAGCACCTCGGCTCTCAGCCTCCACCCTATATGAGTGACAGCCTCCCTTCTCCTCTCCAGCTATCTTTGCTTGGCCGGCTCCTGGGCCTCATGAGGCCATCATCTCTCAGGAAGTACCTGGATTCTGTGCCCTTGCCACCCAGCCAGGAGCAACAGCCAAAGGCCAGTGCCGAACTAGACCACAAGGTGAGCACCCGGCACCTGCCTGCACCACCACCACAGGTAGCAGGGAAAGGTGGGGCGGTCCACATTGCATGGCCTGTGGGTCCTTCCAAAACCCCAGAGCCATGCCAAGGAGAGGCCAACAGGCTGCCTCCCTGTGTTGGGCGGAGGTGCTGAGCATCTCTCCTGTAATTTGTACTGTTATCCATGCCACAGAGGCAGGGGACACCTTGTACGGGGGCCGATGTCCACCTGTCCATGCTCGTGTACCTTCTGTCAATCTGGGGTTGTCAGTCTTACAGCACAGTTGAGGGGGGATGCAGGAGCTGAATGCTGGTGGGGAGATGGGAACAATTCAGGATAAGTGCAAGGCTGTCTAAACATGCAGGACACCCCTTCTGGAGGCAGAGCTGGTCCAGCCTCCCTGTTCGTTTTCACTATGGTTGTCAATGAGGCGCTGAGTCCTTGGCCTGTCCCCAGTTCTTCCTAATTGACTTTCCAGACATTGCCCAGCTTTCCTGAAAGCCAAGCTTTGGCGAGAGTCAGGAGCAACAGGGCGCCCCAGGGCCTGCAGGTTGTGGAGTTTGTAACAGTGAGGCCTGTGAGTCCCTGGGTGAACATCAGAGCAGGGATGATGGTGGCTGTGAGGGCTTCAGAGTGGGCGTCCCAGGCCCAGCTTCCTGAGGAGCAGGGCTTAAACGATGGTGCACTCTCCTGCCCCTGGGGACTCTGGGATGAAGAATGGAGATAGGGATCATCTTAATTGGAGAAGGTGGTGATTCCAAAAACTCACTTGGAGGCTGGATGTTGATGATACAGAAGTCCAACCTTTGGGCATCATTCTGCAAATCAGATAATTAATTACTTAATGAACACAAATGAACCATTAAGGAGATATGCTAATCCCCAGGTGCACGCTCCTCTCCTGGAACATGTGGGGAAGGTTGTCTTTCAGTTGTGCCTAATATTAGTGCGTTTATGAGGCTGCTGCCTCCCAGGAGAGTGTGAGCTGTCTGCATGCCCCTTCTCCTGTGCCAAGTATTTCCCCAGAAACTGAAGCTGCTTATAGGCTAGTTATGGGGCTTCTAGAAAGGAGGTGGGAGTCAGCCCTGGGGTGGTCTGTCTGAGCAAGACTCAGGAGGCCTGGGCACTGGGGAAGGAAGAAGAAGGCAGGTGGCAAGAGAGGAAAGAGGCTCACGTCCGGGTGAGTGGGGAGCGTGGCCTGCAGGTACTTTGGGGGCCAGTCCCAGGCCTTACCTAGCAGAGACGTGGTTCCTGTGAGGCTTACCACAGTTCAGAGGCTGTCCAGGCAGGCAGGACATGCCCTTTCAGCAGCTGGGGAAGAGGGGCAGTGAGCAGGCTGAGGGTGCCCTTTCTTTTGAGGACTGTTCTCATATACCTAAAGAAGGTTTGAAAGCATCCCCCTAGTCGGCCACCATATTGGAAATGACCTGTTTGGCCTGAAAACATGGAAGCACTGTGCAGCTAGGCAGAGCCCCAGAAGGGTAGGGTGCTCTGGTCTAGGGCAGTGGAGGGGCAAGCGAGGCCCAGGCAGCTCTCAGAAGGCCTTTGCTTCTGAAAACAAGAGCACCTTAGATTCTGCTGCACTCCCCTTCACCTCTGTCTCCGAGTGAGGGAGCCCTGGGCAGAGGAGGGTGCATGCGCAGAGCAGTGTGAAACAGGCCCCTGGACTGGGCGCTGTTCTAACTGGGTCCGAGTGAGGGAGCCCTGGGCAGAGCAGTGTGAAACAGGCCCCTGGGCTAGGCGCTGTTCTAACTGGGAGGGGCCAGGTGGGGCAGGTGACTGGGCTCCACTCCCACCCCAGCCGACTGACTCCTCATTAGGCCTGTGCATGTTTCATCTTCAAAGAGGTAAGATGGGCCACTCAGCAGCCAAAACCAGCGGCGGCAGCAGCATCCACCCTCTTTTATAAGGAGTGGTGGTCTGGGCCATGGCTGAGCCTTTCATCCCCGGAACTCAAAGTCTTTGCCTTTCTGTTTCCCTTCTGTGCAATGGGGAAACTGAGGCTAGAGTAAGGTTGAACTGAGGTGGCCCAGCCTGGAGGAAATGGCTACTTTCCCAGCCTTGAGGCTGCTGAGCTGAGCCTCTGCCCTTTGATGCCTGCCCATCCCCCAGGCCCTCTCACTCCTGTCTGGGAGATTTCCTGCCCTGTGCGGCTGGGTCACAGCCCTCCTCCAGTCCTGCAAATAAATACTTTACTGCCTCGATCCTTCCCCACCTCCTCTCCCTGCCTCAGGCCTTGGCCCAGCCTTTCCATCTGGGATGAGGCTGGAAGAGCTGCTCTTGGTGTCCAGGGCAAAACTTTCTCTCCTCATTGATCCCATGGCAAATAAAGTTGTCCCTTTGCTTGCCCCCTGTCCAGCTAGACTGTGGGCACAGCCAGTGTCTCTCAGCACTGCGTCCCACATTTGGCAGTAGATGAACAAATGAATGAATCCAGTTTTAATTCCTGTGTCCTTCTCTAAACTCCCTTCTTCCACCCTGTTCTGGCATCTGCTCTCCTGCACCCATTCTAGAAACCTCCCACCTCCTGTATGCCATCTGACTAGCCTCTAATGGTGGCCCCTTTGTCTCTTAAGGTCTTTGTATCATTAAGGCCACAAGAGCTTATAGCCAGCCTGCCCTTTTCCTGCAGGAGATCCTGGACTAAAGAAGTGTTACCTGCATGCGGCAGAACTAATCCCAGCATATCATTTGTAATTAGAGGCTAGTGAGGTCCTGCCTGGGAAAGCACCAAGCACTTCAGCAAAGGAAGCTATGCGCTCCTGCTGCAGCTGTGCATGGGGGTCAGGAACTGGAGAGAGTCAGGGGCAACACAGGTTCCTGCACTGGCCGTGTGTCCTAGCTTTGTCCACAGAGTCCTAGCTGAGCAGGCAGAGCTTATATGGAATATAAGAGCTTCTGTGGACTATCCCACTTAGTGAGCTGATGAGAATATTTTTAGCATTTTGAAGAGCGTCTGGATAAAGAAAACAAAGCTGAGCCCCTTTTCATTATCGATGGCCCTGTGCATGCCTGGTTTGAACTGGGCTTTATTCCTGGAGAAGAATAAACATCTGGGTTGGTGTGATGCTTAGGGGTCTGGTACAGCCCATTGAGAGGCAGAGATCCTATTTGGCTGACAGAGGTGGGAGAGGGTGTTTCCCTGTTGGAGAGTTAAGGCAGGACAGTATAATACTTAGAGCTGGCTTCCAAGTGTTTCCCTTTGGCCCATGATACCGATTTGCCCCAGTTGTCTTCCCAGGCAATCAAGGGAGACTGTCCTGGGCGCAGGCAGAAAAATGTTGTATAACTTGACTCAGTGACTCAATTTGCCACTGTCTCTCCAAGCTACCATCTGAGCCCACCAGCCCAGAACCAGGGGCTTCCTGGAGCAGATTGTTTCCTTGTAGCTGACTTGTATAAACCATCTGGCCAGATGTTGTCTGATGTGTTCTGTCCAGCTTCAGGACTCAGGGTCATGAGGGTCATGACCCATTCACTTCTGTTTTTTGAGACAGGGCCTGTCTCATTCTGTTGCTCAGGCTGGAGTGCAGTGGCGCCATCAAAGCTCACTGAAGTCTTGCCTTCTCAGTTCAATAGATCCTCCCACCTCAGCCTCCCAAGTAGCTGGGACAGGAATGCACTACCATACCAGGCTAATTTTTATTTATTTATTTATTTGAGACGGAGTCTTGCTCTGTCGCCAGGCTGGAGTGCAGTGGCATTGATCTCAGCTCACTGCAACCTCCGCCTCATGGGTTCAAGCGATTCTCTGCTTCAGCTTCCCGAGCAGCTGAGATGGAGTCTCACTCTCTCACCCAGGCTGGAGTGCAGTGAACCGATCTCGGCTCACTGCAACCTCCATCTCCCAGGTTCAAACAATTCTCCTGCCTCAGGCTCCTGAGTAGTTGAGATTGCAGGCATGCGCCGCCATGCCTGGCTAATTTTTGCATTTTTTAGTAGAGACGGGGTTTTGCCACGTTGGCCAAGCTGGTCTCGAACTCCTGACCTCAGGTGATTTGCCCACCTTGGCCTCCAGAAGTGCTAGGATTACAGGTGTGAGCCACCATGCCCGGCCAATTTTTTCTCTTTTTTTTTGAGACGGAGTTTCGCTCTTGTTACCCAGGCAGGAGTGCAATGGCACGATCTCGGCTCACCGCAACCTCCATCTCCTGGGTTCAGGCAATTCTCCTGCCTCAGCCTCCTGAGTAGCTGGGATTACAGGCACGCGCCACCATGCCCAGCTAATTTTTTGTATTTTTAGTAGAGATGGGATTTAACCATGTTGACCAGGATGGCCTCGATCTCTTGACCTCGTGATCCACCCGCCTCGGCCTCCCAAAGTGCTAGGATTACAGGCTTGAGCCACCGCGCCCGGCCCAATTTTTTTCTTTTTTTTTTATAGAGATGGGATTTTGCCACGTTGCCCAGACTGGTCTCAAACTCCTGAGCTCAAGCAATCCTCCCACCTCAGCCTCCCAAAGTCCTGGGGTTACAGGTGTGAGTCACCTCAGCAGACCCCCATTCACTTCCATTGAGATTATTGATATTTAGGCTGTGTCAAACCTGCCATTTAATACTACACTCCTTATCACACTTCCTAATTGTTTCTTGCTTTTCTTTTTGTTCTACTGATGCTCTGTTTTTTGTTGTTTTTGAGACAGAGTGTTGAACTCCTGACCTCAGGTTATCTACCTGTCTCGGCCTCTCAAAGTGCTGGGATTACAGGCATGAGCCAACAAGCCCAACCTACTGATGTTCTATTGATGAGGTTTTTAATTCCATTTTTCCCCTTAGGGATTTGGGAGGTATAGAGTACCAGGATCTTTATGGTAGGGTGGAAGTTTTTCCCCCAGTTGGTTAAATTTGGGGACTGTGAAATTGTCAAGTGTTTCCTGTTGTATGGAAAGAAAACTAAAGACCACAAAGGAGGAAGGTCTCAGAGCTGGGGCAGAGTCGAGGTGCCAGGAGCCTTGTCCCATTTCCCCAGCTGCCTCCTGGGCATCTCCTCCTGCCAGCCA